CTGAGGTCACATCCTTTTACATTTTTTCCCAGAAAACCAATTTAAAAACTGTAGACTGCAGTCACTCAAGTACAATACAAGCTGTGAGAAGTACATATGGGTAGCAATCAAGCAAAACTGATGAACATAGTGTATTCTTCTGTTCTGAAATAAATCAACTGTGATGGCTTATTTTTGAAGAGGATGGAAACATATGCACGCGGAGAAAAAGGCAAAAAAAGGAAACCTAGGAAGAAAGAAACATAACTCATTGAGTATAGCCATAAAATGCATGGCAGGTCTGCCCATCAGGACTTCTTTAAACATTAGCAGAATATTCCTCAAAAGAAGATGTAAGATGTGGAAGAGAGGCAGGTAAACTAAGAGGATACACACAGCTGTTTTAAATTGTTGTACAGCCCATACATGCTGAGAGACTGACTGCTCCCATCTCACAGGAGAAGTGAATCCCTGCAGGCTGAAGGAGGGACTACAATTGGGCGGCTGTTGCTGTAACTGCATGACACCCAGAACTTAATCCAGCTCTACCAGTAAATGCCACCTAATACCTTCAGCACCCCTCAGCCCGTTGACACATACAGAAAGTGGGCATCCGGCCCAATCAGAGTGTTTACTTAGCAGCTTGCTGTCAGTGTCAGTTAGGTTAAGATTTTTGGCCAAGCAGGTCAGTGGAACAGAAAGCACTAAGTCAGTTGAGCCACTGTGTCTGTATTTGTGGGGGAATAAAGCAAAAATATGCATGAAAAAAAAATCTCATTTGGCTTTTAGCTAAAGGTTAAATGATTCAACCACTAGTAATGAGGTGATTCTGTGTGAGATACATCACAGGAGTGTGTCTGTGCTTGTCTGACTAATATGATATTAGCTACTTCCCCTCAAACATCAGCAAAAGATTACTCATAATATGGGATTAAATGTGAAAAGAAGAGTAGCACATAAAAAGAAAGAATGACCAACCATAAACACAATGCGGGTGAGCAGTGAGTAACGGCATTAGACACACAAGTCCGGTTTCCAATCAGAATTCCCAGATAATCTGTAAAAGTTTCCATCCACTACTGTTATATAAATGTTGATAATACTATTACTAGATAATTTTGAGATAAACAGTTGGTGCGAATTCTCCAGTCAGGTGCCACCAAACCACAGAGGAAGAACCACAAGATGGCATATTAAAAGAGCACTAGTCAAACCTCCAACATTAGAAAACCATGTAGAAAACATGGTGTCGATATTGTTTGTTTTGTGTATTAATTTGAGAGCGTTACAGTCTCACTGGTCCACACAGATCAGTTTGCCTTTTTTTATCTGTTGCTTTTTTTCTATCTCTTCAATAGAGCGAAAGCTGGAGTGACAAGTCATATTCGCCAGTATCTTCTTTTGTTCGTATCGATTAGTCAACTTTCGTGAGTCGATGTAAAAACTGTTTTGTGATGTTTTGACTTTTTTTTGGATTACAAGCGGATGGAACTGCACTTACAGGAAGAGAGAAAGCCCAAAGTGAAAGCAAACCGACTGAAACGTTTCCTCATCCTTTCGGTCTACGTCAAACCCCAGACTCTCTCTCCACAGTATCCCTGTGCCTCCAGCTGTTTGGACTGGGAGGGGCCCGTTGCCGAGGCGACCCACACCTTAAGAGTTGTCTTGTCTGGTCCTGCCTTGTCGAAGCTGAGTGAGCGGATGAAATGAAGGAGACAGGGATTGAAGCTAAGAGTTGGGAGGGGGTGGCAAGCGATCAGGGATAATAAACCCTTCTATGTGGGAGTCTGAATCCAGAGAACAAGCTCAGACTAGCATTAAACGCTAACCAGCGTAAAATCTGAAATGAATCCCACCAACTCGGCCAAGAACTAACTCCAGTCGGACACCTGCAGGCTGATCTTAAATCCCACTGGCTTGCAGAAACCCACAGCAAAGCATCTAAATACACCAGCAAACCCTCTTGGAAACACATGTGTCGGGCCCTCTAAAAGCCTTCTAGTAGCCTCTGAGTGCTGTTGTGTAATGTGGTGACAGCGCTGAGCTATGGCAGCACAAGTACAGAGGCTGACACCTGGTGTGATTTCAGTAAATTATGGTGCAGGTGAACTCATTCAGTTCCAGGCCAGTCATGCTGTGACTGGAAGAGACGCAGCCCCGTCGGGAGATGATATATGGCAGTAGGAGACCAAAGGCAGGCCTGTCTGGGAATAAAATGGTTTAAATGCAGCGCAGGACCGGCCTAAGATTCTCTCGCTCTGTCTCTCTGTGTTTGTGCCTGCTCTGTGTCCTGTTGCCAAGCCGCCGGCATATCAAAGAGTAGTACTTTTTTTAAAAACGCTTAAAAGTGAAATATAAAAGTTGAATGTTTTATTTAAATTTCTGAGTAAAAATGCCTTCTTTGATGCGTCTAAATATGTTTAGTGGGTGGAGTGGGCTAAAGTCAAGGGATGTATTTATGTTCTCACTCTTCTTAGAAATGTCTCCTCACTTGTGGACCAAATGCAGAGTGAGTGAGCTCTAGAGGAGGATAAGCAACAGACTGAGCCCCTGTAGGTCATGACATTGCCCCCTGCTGTTTAAAGTTTGTTACAGGCAATGCATGAATAAGTCTTGAGCAACATCCATACAACATTGAGCCTGAGAAATACATTGTCAGATCCAGAAATGCCCAAACTACCATGACTCACCTTCTAACTGTTGTTATACACACCTCAAAGTACTAAAATTGCCAAAAATATTATGAATTGTGACATCTCGGGTTATTTCCTCTTGACTAGGACGGAAAGATCATTGTTTTCTGTTCTAGCAATAAATACTGTGAAGTGTTTAGAAAATGACTGATGCATCATGTTGCAATCATTTAAGCTCTGAAAGCCAACTGATAAATCTAAAAATGTAATTCCTTTTACTCACTGCTTACTGACCACATTTTTGACTGTCTGACTTGCAGCTTTTTTAACACTGAACAACAGAAAAACACCCTCTAACGTTAAAGTGAATAAAGATCTCTAAATAAAGATTAAACAAATGAATTACATAAAATACAAAACTTGTTTGTTGTAGAAGTACACCTGAAAATCTATATTTCTTTCAATTAGTTTGGTCAAATGTTTAAAGCTGCTATAATAAATATATTATATTGACAGTGGAACAAACAAATACTTGTATGTGGAAGGGGTTACTTATTATCACCCGACACTACAGTTCCCCTCAGCTTTATAGAGATTTATAGTGTCTTTCAGCTCATTCTTTGGCTTTTAT